TCCAAACTGCTCCTCCTCTGGTCACTCTAGGAGATCAATGAGGACAGTATTGACTTGCTGTAATGCAGGGGACAGTTTGGTATATATTCTCCAGGTCCCTCTGTTAGAACTTGAAATTCTAATTCTGTCCTGTACCAGGCTGAAAATCTTTGTTTTTGCAGTACAGTCTAGCTCCAAGGAGCTGGGCTTTAGCTAAATTCACAGATAACTAGTATCCAAAAGAGTGTTGATAAAAGTTTCTATAATAAGCAGGATTTTTGCATTTTAACATATTTGAATTCAGGATGCATGTTAGATTCAATGGAATATAACAGTCACTGTCAGCCATATGGCAGTTGTAGTGTTGCTGTTTGAAAACTTTCTACAGACAACTTGTGTAAACAGTAAGAAGTCACCATTACCAAAACATCTCAGCTGGAGAGAAATGCGGGTGTATGTAGCCAACATTTGCTGACCAGTATACATGGGCCAGCATACTATTATCTATTGCCACATTAACCCTGTTAGACAGTCACACAATGGTAATGTTATTTCTTGTGAGTGTATAGGGTGATTGAACAAGCCCACTGATGCAGGCCAGGCTCAGCTGGGCTTATTGTGTGTCTGTAGTTGGCTATCGGTTGTGTGCATGATTCTGCTCACTTTGGTTTGACTCCCACATTTCGGAAGTCGGCTGGCTCTGGGTTGGTTGTATGAGACATCTTTGCAATCAAGCTATGGTCTCCACTTTAGGAAGGTTAGCCTAAGCTTGTACTCATAGTACCAGCTTTCCAAAAACAGTTGGACTCATATAAGGCATTTATTCAAGGCTCTTCATGAATGATATCTGTTGACATTCAAAAACAAATGACTCACCTGAACTGACTGCTTTTCAAACAAAACTTGAAGATTTTCAGTTCTACCTCTGATTCCCTCTTTAGGATGATCACTCTTCAGTCTCCCATTTCTTGACCGTGTTGGCCTACCAAATGAACCTTATTTGCCTACATCTATGGCCTCACAGACAATACACACATAATTCCTAATATCTATATAGCATTCACTATAGTTGCACTTAACAATAGAGCCTTGAAAAGATGAGACTATTTCAAAGAAGTTAATGGAAAAAGAAATTAAAAGATAAGTTTATTTTGATACAAGAAATTTTCAAATCCATATATAGTCTTTTCCATAATACTTACTTATTATGAACTTTGTGAAGACCCCTTGTATGCATGGATTTCAAACATCCTTTACAAAATACATTTATTTTTCAGTTTCATTTTCCATGAACTTTTTGAAGTGGAATAGTAGTCAAACAAACCTTTCTTTCAAACTCACCCACCTAATAAATTTCCATAAGTTCTAGAGAGTTCGCTAAAAAGTATATTGAATTGCTCATAGAAGATCCTTTTAGGAACCCCATCATCTTTTCCTGAGGAACTGGAAACTTAAACTTTCAGGAAGAGCAAGGAAAAAGTCTTGCTCAAGATGGGTGATTCCAAGGTTGACCACATTTCAATTACAATTAAATCATGATTTCCCACTCTGAATCAACTGATGAAGGATGACTGATAATAATTGTTAGAAGACAAACTACTAGTACCAGACAGTTACTAATTGCAGATTTTGCACACAGAACTTTTAAAAAAGGATAAAATAGTGAGTTAAAGAAATGTAGTCTGGGCCTGGTATTGCGGCACAGAAGGGTAAGCTGCTGCTTGGGACAGCTGCGTGCTATGTAAGAGTGCCAGTTCAAGTCCTGGGTTCTCTGCATCTGATACAACTTCCTGCTAATGCATTTTGGGTGGCAACAGACGGTGGCTCAAATACTTAGGTCCTTGCCACCCAGATGGGAGATCAGGATGGAGTTCCTGGCTCCTGGCTTCAGTCTGGCCCAGTCCCTATTGTGGCCATTTAGGGGAGTGAAATAGCAAATGAAAGATTCTCTCTCTCCCCGCCTCCACTTGCTGTGTCACTCTGCCTTTCAAATAAATAATAAAAAATAAACATCTAAAGAAAAACAAAGTCTTTTTATTTAGGTATATTTTACTACTTTAGCCTAATGGCCTGTTTCTTTAACTTAAACAAATCATATATACAATGTGGAAGAAACTTTGTTTCATGCCACATTCTTCTTCCTGGATCACCTCTTTATGGTCTGGTGCATTCCAATTGTACTATAATACTCAGTTTTCATGGGGTCATCTCATCTCCTTTATTTGTCTCTAACTTAAATGCCAAGTGATGACAAGAAACTTCAGACAGGCAAACAACCTCAGACGAGAAGGTACCTGGGTATTTTTATTTCTCAAGCTTTACCAATTAAAAGTTCTCTCTGCACTGCCTTGGGAAATGACAGGCTGACCAGCCTGGTGAAAACAAACAGCAGAACTGCCGTCTCACTTCAGTTACAGTCTGCTTCAACTTCAAATCAGCTGCAGTGCAGGGCTCCCAGGGCAGGTGGGGAAGGAGGGGCTTCAGGACATCATAGAGACAGCTGCATTAGTCCCAAAAGGAAGGTTTCCAGAGTCTAAAGGGGGTGACAAACAATCAATAAATTGGTCTTCATAAATATTCAAAGAGAAGCCTCCCGTAAAGTCCAACATTACAGAGTAAATTAGAAATGTAAGTGTAAATCAGAGGCATTAAAAATGATCTCTCTAGTGCTAGTGTGAACCATTACTTTAAGCTTTCTTGGCTTGGTTAAAAATAGAAGCTGACAACTAGCAGGGAGTTAAGATTCTGCTCTGTTATTTAATTATAATACCACTTATAGGCTGAAAGGGCACAAGGTCCCAAAGGGGCATCTGTTTCAGGAAGTAAACAAAGGCTTCTGAAACGCAGGAAGTGAGTGCCACAAGTTAAGAGATTGCTTATTCCTGGAGTTACCCTGCCTACTTGGTCCTACCCTTTTGACTTCTGTCAGTCATTTGCTTATTGATCTTATGACCGCCTACTTTGCTCTACCTTCAGAATCTTTATCCTCTTGGCTTCTTCCTGTTTGAGCCCATTTTATCTTCGGCGTGCTAACGGTGTCTACCTTGGATGAGACTCATGTCCCTGCTCTTGGGCTATCTCTGTTCCTGGAGAGCCCGTCCAGGTGGCTGAGCCTGCCGCCTCCTTAGCATGCACTGCTTCCCTTGAATGGGTTTCTAACCTTGTCTCACTCTGCACTCTACACCCAGACTCTGGAACTGAGCAGTTGTTTTCGTAATGGATTTCAGGTCCTTGGCATAATGTACAGGGGCCATTTTGACCTCCCTCTTCCTCCATGGGAGAATCGGGCACATGATAAGGAAATAATATTCTCATTTCCTGAGTGCTTCTAGGAAACAAAGGAAAACAATACGGTATGTTCCAGGGGCTCAGGGTCCTGAGATCACCTGCATGTTTTTTTAGATGACAAAGGTTTACTCAAGGGAGGCCCAAACAGCCGTGGCTCCTGCTCGGCTAGAAATCAGGTGTAAATTTCCCACCTACAACATCCAACAACTTCTTTATAATTAGGGTGCAAAAAAAAAAAGAAATTTTTCTTGCAGGAAAAACAGAGAAAAAACAAGATTTTTTTTTTTTTTTTTTTTTTTGACAGGCAGAGTGGACAGTGAGAGAGAGAGACAGAGGGAAAGGTCTTCCTTTGCTGTTGGTTCACCCTCCAATGGCAGCCGCGGCTGGTGCGCTGTGGCCGGCGCACCGCGCTGATCCGATGGCAGGAGCCAGGAGCCAGGTGCTTTTCCTGGTCTCCCATGGGGTGCAGGGCCCAAGCACCTGGGCCATCCTCCACTGCACTCCCTGGCCACAGCAGAGAGCTGGCCTGGAAGAGGGGCAACCGGGACAGAATCCGGTGCCCCAACCAGGACTAGAACCCGGTGTCTGGGCGCCGCTAGGCGGAGGATTAGCCTAGTGAGCCACGGCACAGGCAAAACAAGATTTTTTTTAAATCTCCAGTTTTATTGAGGTAAATTATCTAAAAATTGTACATATTTAAAGTATACAATGTGATGACTTGATATATGTATGTATTATGAAATGCCTAATATAATCTAATTAACATATCCATCACCTCACATAATTGCTGTTTTTACTTTTGGGTTAGAATGCTTAGTATCTATCTTTCAGCAAATTTGAAGTCTACAATACAACGTTATTAATATATTTACCAGTTTGTACGGTAGAGTCTCAGAACTTATTCATCATTTAACTTGGAAATTTTATGCCCCTTGATTAATGTCTTCCCATCTGCTCCTTGCCCCAGCTCATGGCAACCACCATTCTACACTCAGTTTCTATGATTTTTTCTTGTATTTCAAAAATTTTTTAAAGATTTAATTTATTTATGTGAAGGTCAGAATTACAAAGAGAAAGAGACACAGGAAGAAAGAGAGAAAGAGAGAGAGAGACAGACATCCTCGATCTTCCAATTCACTTCCCAGATGATCACAATGGCCAGGGCTGGACCAGGGCATAGCCAGGAGCCAGGAGGATATTCCAGGTTTCCCATGTGGGTAGCAGAGGCCCAAGCACTTGGGCCATCTTCTGCTGCTTTTCCCAGGCCATTAGTAGGCAACTGGATTGGAAGTGGAGCAGCCAGGACGTGAACTGGAGCCCATATGAGTTGCTGATATTGCAGGCAGAGGCTTTACCTGCTATGCCACAAAGCCAGTCCCTTTATTTCAGATCTAAGTGATACCATACATTTGCCTTTTTCTTCTCTTACTTCACTTAGCATGTCAGACAAGCCCATCTATGTTGTCAAAAATGACATGATTTCCTTCTCTAATGGCTGAATAACATTACATTGTGGGTATGTTTGTATATACTTTCATAAGTATATATAATTTTCTTTTGGAAGCTGAATCACAGCATACACTTTAATATGAGTACCTTGCCTATTGCGGGTTGACCTAAAAATCTAACTATTATTGTAAATACTGCTGCAAAGGTAAAATACTGAGCTAAAATAATGCTAATAATAGATCTGAAATACCCTCTTTGTAAAGTCAGGAGCCATGTGCACTTACCTTTGAAAAGGAGTTCTGTGACTACTGCTTGGACTGTTGCTTTTCGGTCTAATGCACACCTGATGGGTCCTTGCAAAGTGTAACATGGCATCTATAAATAAAAAAGTGGACATTAATTCTTAACAATGTGTACAGCAACTATAGCTCTTAGGATTTTGTGAATTTCGAAATTTATATGAGAGAAGTTGAACATCTTTTCATTTGATTGTTATTTATAGCCCTTGCCAATTTTCCTGCTCAGCTACACTATGCTCTTTTTATTTGTTGGACTCTTTATTTAGTGGAGCATTATGCCTTTGACTATAATGTAAATATAATAAGTTATATTTAATAATATGTACTGTTACATTACAAAATATTATCTAAAATTCAATAAATCTTTTCAAAAATTTGGACTTATATTATCTTTCTTAGACAAACAAGGAACAAGATGTGTAATTACTTTATATAGTTTTAATGGTGTGAACAAACACCTTCAAATTTGCTTCTTCTTTGACTAAAAGTTTGACCAAGAAAGAGCTGGAGAGCATCTACTATGATATATTCAGAAACAAAAAGGAAAGAAAATTATTTTCTTACATTCTTGTCATCAAAACAAGCTACCTTAACTGGTAAAAGAAGGGAATCTATGGTCAAAGGGTCAAATTCATTTGCCTAAAATTAAGTAAAGTGAAGCTAATTTCACCAGTCCCTCTCTCCAGTTTTCAAAATTTAAAAAATATAATACAAATCGATCATGTTCATGGAGAAAAAAATCAGGATGCACAAAGTAAATGATAATCCTTAGTCGAAACAATGTAACAGTTTAGTTCTATCTTTACAGATTAGTTTTTCATTTAGAAAAATATAAATGTAGTTGGGCACATTATTATGTGCCCAGTACCCAATCAGGCACTTGAGATACATCATGGAACTCAACAGAACCTGTAGTTTACAGTCTTATTATTTTCAAAACTTATATTTTCTAAGCCAATAAATCTATACTGACTATATTTAGTAGCTATAAAATATTCTATTGTATTCATATATAAGATCAAGGGTTTTATTTGATTTTGTGTCCTAAGGAAAGTAAAAGAAAATTACAACACCCCCCCCACACACACAACAGCAACAATTCAGTATTTACTTTGAACAAATAGTTATCAATGCCAAAAGGGATGCATATGAAAATAGAACAAAAGCAACTAAAAAAGTTAAGGAAGTAAAGCCCCACCCCTCAAAGAGATGAAAATCAAAAGGAAGATAGCTTAATTACAAAAATACTAATATCACAAGCAACATATTATACACATTTGCTTTCCAGGTTTTAGGCTTTAGCTGACTCTCAGGATTGTTTTAATTAAATCAATGGCAGTCCTAACAACATAACAGTTTACATTTATTGAATGTGTTTGTGTGTCAGTCATTTTTTCAAGTACTCCATGTCTATCAACCTAAGCCTCATATCAAACTTTTAACAAGAGTATTTCTTACATATAATGAAACAGAGATGAAGAGTCAGTTATTTTTGTGAAGTTACAATGATGATAATGGTCAAAGCAGCTTTCCCAGCACAAGACACCTTTTTCCTGAGTCTTTACTGCAAATCATTACTCTTAATTAAAAGCCTGCACCCTTCTATCCTCACGACACATACCTTGCTTATGTGGATACCAGGGAAGATGGTACCCTGCAACTCATTCCCATCACAGAGAGTATAAAGCAAAGTGCTTATTTCAACAGTGGAAAGGCCATTTTCCAGAAAAAAGGTACTGCATTACTTCCTTTTTATTTTTTTTTAAAGATTTATTTACTTAATTGAAAATCAGAGTTACAGAGAGACAGAGAAATAGAGAGAGATCTTTCACCCATTAATTCTCTCCCCAAATGGCAGCAACGATTGGAACTGGACTGATCTGAAGCCAGGAGCCAGGAGTTTCTTTTGGGTGCAGGTACCCAAGCCCTTGGACCAACTTCTGCTGCTTTCCTAGCTGCATTAACAGGGATCTGGATCAGAAGTGGAACAGCAGGGACTCCAACTAGTACCCATAGAGGATGCTGGCACCACAGTCAGAGGCTTTACCCATTACACCACATTACTGGCACCAATATTTATTTTTATTTATTTGAAAGTCAGAGTTACAGAGAGAGGGACACATACACACACACACACACCAGGAACTTCTTCCAGGTGTCCCACATGCGTGGCAGGGGTCCAAGCACCAGGGCCACCTGGTGCTGCTTTTGCCTTACCCGCTGTGCCACAATGCCAGAATGTTACCAGAAGTGAACAGCTGAACACATCTTTGACTCTTCAAGCAGGCAAGCCCTGGGGGCTGGCATTGTGGCCCAGCAAGATAAGCCATAGCCTGCAGCACTGGCATCCCATACAGGCACTGATTTGAGTCCTGGCTGCTCCACCTCCAATCCAAATCCCTGCTAATATGCCTGGCTAGGCAGTGGAGGATGACCCAAGCACTTGGACCCCTGCACCTACGTGGGAGACCTGGAAGAAGCTCCTGACTCTAGCCTTGCCAAGCCCTGGCTGTTGTGGCTATTTGGGTTATAAATCAAAAGATGGAAGACCTCTCCCTCTCCATCTCACCCTCTGTCTCTCTAACTCTGACTTTCAAATAAATAAAATAAATCTTAAAAAAAAAAAAATGGGCAAGCCCTGAAGGCCCATGAAATAAGGGCTCCTCACATCCTTTTTACTCTGATAGGACATAGGCCAGAACCATCAAAACTTCAGTGCATGGGCACAGCCAATTACCCAATACCATGTCTTAGTCACACTACCTTAATATTAGTGTGCATGTGTTTATGTTGTCTTTTTAGACTCAACAGCCAGTGAGCAGAACTTAAATGCCAGGCCCACTTAGCAGTTAAGATGAAAATTAGGATGCTCACATCACACATCAGATGGTATATCTGGATTCAAATGCAAGCTCTGGCTCCTGATTCTAACTTCCTGCTAACACAGAACCTGGGAGACAACAATGCGACTCAAATAGTTGGGTTCCTGCCAGCCATGTGGGAGATCTGGATTGAGTTTCCAGGTCCTGACTTCAGCCCTGGGCAAATCCCAACTGCTGCAACTATGTAGAGAGTGAAGGAGATGGATGGAGATCTCTCTCTGTATCACTCATTCAAATTTTTTAAAAATGAAAAATAGTGCTAGGTTCCATAACAAGGTAGAGATGAGACACATTAGTAATGCTATGCGAGCGACTCTTGGGAATTGATGAAGGTCATGAATGCAATAAAACAGGTCAGTGACCTAAGAAAAGGGGGACATGACAAGGGCACACAAATTTTTCTGCTCATGCTAGGAGTTCTCCCTATCATCACTTAGTATATCTCTCTCTAAGAAATTTGAAGAAGGGACCAGCACTGCGGCTTGGTGAGTAAAGCTGCCGCCTCCCATATGGGCACCGGTTTGAGTTCCAGCTACTCCATGTCCAATTCAGCTCCCTGCTGTAGTCTGGCAAAGCAGTAGAAGATGGCCCAAGTTTTTGGGGCCTTGCACTCATGTGGGAAGAGCCAGAGGAAGCTCCAGGCTCCGAATCAGTGCAGCTCTGGCTGTTGCGGCCAATTGGGGAGTGAACCAGGAGATGGAAGACCTCTCTCTTTCTCTGCCTCTCAGTAACTCTGAGGAAGGAAGGAAGGAAGGAAGGAAAGAAGGAAGGAAGAAGGAAGGAAGGAAGGAGGGAGGAAGGGAGGGAATTAATTTAAAGTAACTCTAAATACAACTTAAATCTTTGCTCTCAATTTTTTAGATAGGGATTTTGGGGCACGTTTCCCAACTCCTCTGAGCCACTGTGTTAGAATGGGCTGTATCTGCCATGTGTGCAAAGAGAACTACTCAAAAAAAAGGTACTGATTTTTACTAGCGTTTTAAAGGCTTAGCTCCTGTGGCAATGTGGATGCCCAATCTAGCTAGAGTACAATTGTTCTAGTGCTTAACAAATTCTCCTGCCACATGGACAACTCCCAGCCCCTTCATGTAAAAAGAAATTGATATTGAAATTGAGTTCGCATATTTGTGTAGGAGCCAATGAGTGGTTTGCACAACATTTCCAGCAGGTATCACCTGCAGCTTGTCATTCAGGAAGGATGTGAGTGAGCTGGTATTTGAGGTTTCCCTGCTGGCCACTGAATGCAGCGGGACAGCATGGACAACGTTATTGCTTTAAGTTCTCCAAGGCTGGCATCTCCAAGGCTGTGTTCCATAACACACTTCCAGCCATTTTGGTATTCCTCAAATTTATGCTCTGGGTTTCCTAACATTACTAGTTTCATCTATGTAAGATCATTTGAGAAGGGACAGGGGTACTCTACCACTTTCCCTCTCCTGAGCTCTCTGCAATGATTCTAGCCACAGGTTATCTCCTCAATGAGTTGTAGCACAGACTCAAAGCATCCAGTAGATAAATGGGTGGGCAGGTACTTGACCTGCAGCAAGTCCTCCAGTCCCCTGTAAGGTCCCATTTTAAAGGTTAATAAACAATCCCAAATCACGCAAGATGAAGCAATTTGTTCCACACCCAAGCACATGTAACTTATACAGGTTGTTCTGGAATCAGGAGGCCTATGCCTGCTCTAGACACTCCTCGCTGGTGGTGATCCCTATGGCAGGAGCACAGGCATTAGCCAAAACATACACATGAAGCTGCATGTATGTCTCCAGCCCATGACACAACAAACAAGCCAATAATTAACACGATCAACAAAACCCTGAACAAGTGCAGGCTGTCAAGGAAGGCTGGGTCTTAAGTTTCAGTCTCTCCCCCTTCCACAAAGCTCTGTGTGTGAATCACATCGCTACATCAGCAATTCTCATTCATTTTTCATGAAATACAGGTAATAATGACTTCTGCCCTTTGAAGAGATTCAAAGGACTATGATGAGAATAAAACTTTAGTAATGGGATAAAAGCTTCAGAAGTAAAGCATTTTTAAAAAGTAAAAAGTCACCGTACTGATCTAAGGTGGTTAAAACCACTGGGAGATCTATAGAAGCCTTCTACGCACAGGAAGAAGCTCACAGAGGGTTTCCCAGAGCGTTTGGGTCCTTCTGTCTCTACCTACGTTATAAATCATGCTCTGTTCTACCACTAAAAATCTCGCATCCTAAGATTTCAACTGTTTCTTGCTGACCTTTGGACTCTCGCGTGCATTTAATCTTGGCAGAGGCAGAGCCGTGCTCCCCAGGAGTCACCAAGGTGTTCCATGGAGTCTCTTCTTTGCCTTGTCCATGTCACTTCTCCACAATCACCATGACAAGTTTGAAGGCAGAGGATCATTCTCCAAAGTCCCCAGAGGCTAGGATGATAATTGAGATGCACAAAAGGATAAGGCACAGAATTTGCATATAAATTTAGAAACATAAAGCCACACAGAATTCTAGGCAAGTTGGCTGATGCAGTCCCTGACGGAGTTTACTAAATAAAGTCCTTTTTTTGGAAAACTGCAAGTGTAAAATAATTTATGAGAAAAAGAAGCAACAATATCCAAGATGAGATTTAAATGTGGAAATAGGAAAAATCCTGTTTTTAAAGGACAACAGTTTTTTTTTTCTTCTGGCATACTAATACATTTTCAAGTTTTTATTTGGGCATGAAAAATATCTTTATTCATTCAAAACTGATGTTATATATTAGGAGAACTTAATTGCTCCTCTCTGCATCTACTCTTGACACTCCTTTGCCTATCATGTATTTATGCTTATATCATAACACTCTTTTTAAAGTTCTCCTTGATCAAACTGTTGAAATCTTTACTTAATGTTTGCTAAACTGATCTTCTGTATATTAAGATAATCGAAAATGAATCTTGATGTGAATGGAAGGGGAGAGGGAGTGGGAAAGGGGAGGGTAGTGGGTGGGAGGGACGGTATGTGGGGGAAGCCATTGTAATCCATAAATCATACTTTGGAAATTTATATTCATTAAATAAAAGTTAAAAAAAATAAAAAAAATAAAGTTCTCCTTATAAATCATAATTGAATTTAAGCACTACCTAGGCACAAACCTTCATAGATATCCTGGCCAAAAGGTTCCCATCTCACTTCTTTATTTACTTTTTTTTTAAAATTTATTTATATGACAGGTAGAGTTATAGAGACAGAGAAAAAAGCCTTGCTTCCATTGGTTCACTCCCCAAATGGCCGCCACGGCCAGCGCTGTGCCGATCCAAAGCCTGGAGCCAGGTACTTCTTCCTGGTCTCCCATGCGGGTATAGGGCCCCAAGCACTTTGGCCATCCTCCACTGCCCTCCCGGGCCACAGCAGAGAGCTGGACTGGGAGAGGAACAACCGGGACTAGAACCTGATGCCAATTTCTTTACTTTTAGGAGATAACATGTATCGTCTATTGTACTCATATAAATATTCATAACTTTTGGTACCATTTCTCACATACTCCTGGATCAATATGTGGAACATTATATTAAGGTGACCAGTAAATCACTACAGAATTATAAATTAATAAGATAATTTGTTTAAAGTTATCATCACTGTTCCTGGTACACAGTTAACACTCCTTAAATGTTTGTGATGACTAACGCAGTTGGTCATTTGTATCCATGGACTCGACACACATGGTTCAAACTATGGCAGAAGGAAAACACTCAGGGAAAACTGGTCTGTGCTAAACAGGTCCTCTTCTTTTTCTTGTCATTATTTCCTAAGTAACATAGTTCATAACTATTTATGCCAAATGTGTATCAAGATATGTAATACTATGGATTACTACTGAGTGGCACTGTCTCCACTTTACACAACAGGGCATTCATACTCTCATAAACTTTTCAAGGGCAGGTGAGACTACAAATAGGACTAAACAACTTGGGTCTTTCCACTCTGCTTTTCATTTCATTAAATGAACTCCAACTAAATGCTTCCTTCACATTCCAGTTTATAAAAATAATTTTAAGCCTTATCTGCTTCATGATGGTCAAAGAGATAAACTTAGCTAGATGAATTTTTAGCTTTGTTTCTGAAAACTGAAAGAAATGCTGAAATAATAGTGCTTGTATGTATTTTTGTGGAGAGGAGTCAGTATTAGAAATATATGGTTTTAAAGAGATAGTTGTTAGCAAACTTTGGGAGCTCAAGCATTTAAGTCATCATGGTTACTTATGCATTCAATAGCCTTAGCAGACTAACTACCTATCATCCATCCAAAACCTGACCCATCCTATCTCTATTGTGCTTATAAGCGTAGGAAGTACATAAAGGCACATGCATAGACACTCACATAGACAGAAAACCTGGCAATACATTTAAGTCATTTCTTAAATCAGTGAATATTTGGCTTCTTAAAGATGCATTCTCTCTTCCCCCACCTTTCCATTCGGTCCAAAATTGTTCCAGACTAGGTAAGTGATACCTTGCAGTTTGGTGTAACATATACTACTTATTGAAAAGTCTACTGCTTCATGTGTTTAAAGCCAGAAAATCCAAGTAAATCATTTGCATAACAGAAAAAGTTTTAGAAATTCTATTTTAAATGGGATGAGTAATTTTAGTGGTGATATTTTAATTACATTAAATACTACACCAGACGTTAAAGTGTAATTGTTAAAGTAGACAATGAGGGCAAAGGACTCTAAGAGCTGGATGGAGTCGCTGCTGCAATTATTTCAATCAACTTGTATAGAACAAAATAGAAAGCAGAACTTGTCCTCCAGAGGCTGGAAACCAGGGCAGGTGGACTTCCAAGGACAGGACTTACACTACTAAATGCCGTGTTCATGATTTGCTGCAGTACTTTCTGTAATGGAACAGAATGTGGCAACACCATTCTCAATGAGTACATTTTTCTTTAAAAATGTTCAAAACTTTTGTCTCAAAACCTAACAATAAGCACAACATGCCGTGACCCGAGAAAGTTAATACAAATGAAGACGCAGGGACTGGTGTGGGCTGGATGATCCATGCATATTTCAGAGTGAACTCTCGGATCCCTAATTTAATCTTCACTGACTTTACATATTTACATTTTACCCATCTTTAGTTACAATGGCACTGTCTGCTCTGGGCTAGCCTGGAGAACTTTCACACACTTCTTAAGGCTCATTAATCATGGCCACCAAAGCTGCTGTTTTATTATTCCTGCCAGTAAGAGTTTCTAGATTCGCCTTAAATTGATAGTTTTCACAGATTCAAGAGTTTGTGATGTATTGCCCCGAATCTAAAACTTCCTCTAGCATAGCCCAAGGTCACCAACTTCCATCATCCCATTAGTTGCACAAAGCCTGTTAGGTTGGCACAAATCCACGGCATACTTGTTTTTTCCCAGGGACAACCTCAGGGATTCTGGCAATCCCTTCCCCGGCCTTAAGGAAGGGTCGGTTTTTGTGCTGTCACTAGCAGAGACCAGGCAACCGGCGGAGAACAAGGAGCTGTTGTCCATCACATGCTAATATTTCTAGGACTGGATCACTTTGGCAAATTCACAAGCTGAATCACCCCAATTCTGGACTTTCCCCTCTGCCCACTCACCCACTGGGGACCTGAAACAGAAGATACAGGTCCCTACAACAGGATTCACAACTAAAGGACTTTGGACCTGTCCCTCCTGAATTAACCTGTACTTAACCTGTCTTAGACTTACTTGAGCCAGCAGTTAGCTTGCAACAAGCAAAGCTAAGTCAGTTCAGGGAATATTGGACGGCCCTCAAAGTTAACCCTCTCACCACCGCATCCCAGGCACTTAACACCCTACTCTTTACCTGGTCTTTAGCTCTATCAGCCATGGTGACATAAAGTAGGGATTTGTGTGCTTACTTGAAAATTGTCTGCAAGGCCGGAGCTTGGAGAACAAGGAAGTCCCACAAGGAGACGCACATCCTGGAGAAGGTGGGTAAAGTATTTTGCACACATCCCAAGTCAGAAGCCTCAAATTCCCTTCTCTGCAAGAAGCACGTATACTTACTTGAACTTGACCCCACGCCATCCCCCTTCCCTACTCACTTGCCCGGGTGGTCAGCCCCCTGAGGGATGAGGTCTCTGTGTGCAGGCTTCCTTGTCACCGACACCCTGCTGTTTGTCTGTCTCAGCTCCTGGTCCGGAGGACGCGGCTTTTTCTTATTATTTTTGCTCCTAAGTTCCAGGCTCCCGTCGCCCTGCATTCCCCAGAGGCTTCCACTGCTGTTCTGCTTCCGCTCACCTCTCGCACCGCTCAGAGCCGGAGGTGCTGTCGGAGCGCAGATAAGCCGGAGCCCGGCATTCAAACTACGGGGTGCTGCGAGTCCCCTTGGGTCCCGGCCACTGTGCCGCCGGGAACAGGGGGAACCGAAGACTCAGGGAGCCCCGCGCTGTCCACAAGGAGTGAGCTCACCGCTGCGGCGGAGCTCCCGCCAGGGCGAACTTTTCCGGTGCGGTGCCGGGAGTGTGGAGGGAGAGGCGCTCAGGACCCCAGCTGCATTCCACGTGGGCCTCGCCGCTGCCGGCGGAGGCGGCACCAGGCAGCTGGGGCAGAGCGCGGCGCCGCCCAGCGGGCTGGAGCCGGAGTCTCCGGGACCCTTGCGCAGCCCGCGGAGCCCGGGCCTGGGCTGTGAACTTGGGGTGGGGGTGAGGGGAGGGGGTGCTGCCTCAGCGTCCTCCTCTCCCCACCGCTGCGGGCGGCTGCAGACTGGGGTCTGTCTGCACGCGCCACGGAGCCTGCCTGCCTCTCCTGCTGTCTGCCTCTCCCCGTGGACTCGCCAGCATCCCGGGGAGGCCAGGGGTAGAGGGAGCTCTGCTGTTAGCTCTGGTCCCTGGGTATAGGCACTCGGATCTGCTAAACCACAGCACAAGGTGTCTTGCTTTAGGGAAACACACCGGGGATGGGGGTTGGGTAGTGTGTGGGAAAAATATAAGATCATCATCATCATCTGTTTATGTGCGGGGGGGGGGGGGTAGCTTTGTTTTGATTTCCCCATCAGTTGCCACTCTTTGTTGACCTTCTACAGAACTCTGTGTCTAACACCAGTCTTGGAAAAAAATCCTATCTCAAAGAGCACGTTGCTACCACTTTGCTGCTAGTCAGGTTATAATGTTTTGTGGACACAGGCTACAAACTCCTAGCTTTTGGTTTTTAGTTTGTGCATGCCACCGTCATCTTGGAGCTCAGTACAAAACCCGACTGCAGGAGATCTGTAATCTACCTGTATGGTATTAGCTATAGAACTCTTCTATCCCTATCAACACCCCCCCCCCCCCAAGCCCCTTGAAGCAGCTAGTGATCCTCTGGAAATTCTGAGAGGAAAACAGTCTTGAACTTGTGAACAAGGTGCTCACGCTGATTTGCTGGGGCTCCTAGGGGATCATCTTGAAAATGAATGGGCTGCAACTGAGGGATTTTTTGCCAGAGAAGGAACCAGTGCTCTTTAAAAGTGTCAGTACTGTGAAAGACAGACTGAGGAATTGTCACAGACTGAAGTTGATTTAGGAGACCAGAAACCAAATCCCATGATCTGAATTGGATTCTAGACCAGAAAAATAATATTAGTGGGTCCAATGGAGTAAGACCTGTGAAATAGTTGATCCTATCACAGCATTTTTAATTTTCTAGTTTTAAAATTGTATGGTGGCGCCGGTGCCGCGGCTCAACAGGCTAACCCTCTGCCTAGCGGCGCCGGTAAAACAGGTTCTAGTCCTGGTTGGGGCGCCGGATTCTGTCCCGGTTGCCCCTCTTCCAGGCCAGCTCTCTGCTGTGGTCCAGGAGTGCAGTGGAGGATGGCCCAAGTGCTTGGGCCCTGCACCCCATGGGAGACCAGGAGAAGCACCTGGCTCCTGCCATCGGATCAGCATGGTGCGCTGGCCACTGCGGCCATTAGAGGGTGAACCAACGGCAAAGGAAGACCTTTCTCTCTGTCTCTCTCTTTCACTGTCCACTCTGCCTGTAAAAAAAAAAAAATTGTATGGTGGCTGTGTAAGATGTTTCTATGTGTGGAAACTGAATACACACACACACACACACACACACACGATTTATTTATTTATTTGAAAGAGTTACAAAAAGAAGGAAAGCCAGAGAGAGCACGAAAGAGAGGGCTATCTTCCATCTGCTGCTTCACTCCACAGATGGGCGCATGGCCAGAGCTGAGCCAGGCCAAAGCCAGCAGCCAGGAGATTCTTCCAGGCCTCCTACGTGGGGAGCAGGAGCCCAAGCACTTGGGTCATTTTCTACTGCTTTTCCCAGGCCATTAACAGGGAGCTAGAACTTGAATTGGTGACCATTTGGGATGCTGGCATCACAGCTGGTAGCTTTACCTTCTACACCAGAATGCCTGCTTCAAAAGGGTTATTTTTAAATGAAACTAGAAAATAATATAAGATAAACTAATACAAAAGGTTTGGATTAACTGATCTTTAAAATCTTTTCTAAGCCTAAAATTATTCAAATGCCTGACAACAATTACCGTCAAGATCTCCAGCTGCTGTTACAAAGTTCAGATGAAGATTTTTCTTTCAAAGATTTTATTTATTTGAGAGGTACAGACAGTGAGAAGGAGAGACAGAGAGAAAGGTCTTTCTTCCGTTGGTTCACTCCCTAAATGCCTGCAACGGCTGGAGCTATGCCGATCCGCAGCCAGGAGCTAGGAGCTTCCTCCCAGTCTCCCATGCAGGTGCAGGGGCCCAAGAACCTGGGCCATCCTCCACTGCTCTCCTGGGTCACAGCAGAGAGCTGGACTGGAAGAAGAATAGCCGGGACTAGAACCAGCACACATATGGGATGCTGGTGCCGCAGGCAGAGGATTAACCCACTGCGCCGCAATGCCGGGCCCCAGATGGAGATTTTAAGGAGGAAAAGAGACTTCAAAATTGCACATTATTTTTAAAAATCTAAATTAATTCAAGTATACAGCTTTTTTGGAAAGATGATGTCATCTTCAGATTCCTTTAAAATCCATGTCAAACTAATTAACACTTTCAAAGTCCAGGTAGTCAATAACTAATAAAATGAGTACTGAAAAGATAATAGTTATAGCTATAAAATAGTAAACATTTTTACTTCTAATATCAATATAGCCATATAGCACATAATGCCTGTACAGCCAGCGATGGACCACACACATGTAAGAATGTTGTTCCATAACATTAGAGCATTTGGTGACATCACAGCCTTCTTAGCTTGTGCAAGTACATTTTGTGATGCTTACAGAGTGACAAAATTGCCTAAAATACCTTTCTCAGAATGTATCCAATCACTAATTGGCACATGATTATATGAACTTCAAGGAAAAAATACAGTCTGTAAAACTGTGATGAGACCATTTTGAAGAAAGCAGTTACTCAACAATAATTAAATCTCTAAGGGGATGTAATTTTTATTTCTTTTTGACAGAGTGGACAGTGAGAGAGAGAGAGAGAGACAGAGAGAAAGGTCTTCCTTTGCCGTTGGTTCACCCTCCAATGGCCGCCGCAGCCGGCGCACTGTGGCCGGCGCACTGCACTGATCCGAAGCCAGGGGCCAGGTGCTTCTCCTGGTCTCCCATGGGGTGCAGGGCCCAAGCACTTGGGCCGTCCTCCACTGCACTCCTGGGCCACAGCAGAGAGCTGGCCTGGAAGAGGGGCAATTGGGACAGAATCCGGCGCCCCAACCAGGACTAGAACACCATGTGCCGGCGCCGCTAGGCAGAGGATTAGCCTGTTGAGCCGCCATGCCGGCCTAAGGGGATGTAATTTATACAAGCTCTTTTGTACAATGTTTTTTAGAAGACTGTTCTAGTTTATTCTGTAAACCAGTCTAAGATGAGCAAATGCAAAGCCATGTAACTATATCAGCCATAAAATTTCAGTGCTTCCATAAGCAACAGAGTTTGCTAAATAGTAACTTGGCCAGTTCAGTCATGAAAGTAACCTAGAATATTCTTCCAAAAATACCTCTATCACCCATGAGTAAGAATTTGTCCTTGAAAAACACATATGTAGCCAAGCAAACAAAACACCACAAACAAAAACCCCTCAGTTCAGTTGTGGTGAATCAATGGTTGAAGGAAATTTGAGATTCCTCTTTGCTCACCAAATCACAAATGCTACTACTTGTTGAAGTCTAAAAAGCTATTTCTTTCTTATACAGCTTGCATGTACTTGCAGAATGGTTGCTTGGAAGCTTTTCTTCAAACCTTACTCTTTCCTTTTGAGCCAGGGTAAGTCTATGAGAACCACACCATAGGTAGGATTCCAGACATATATACAACTGGATAACAGGAAAGGAAAACAAGAGAAAGAGAATCAATACCTTTTAATGTTAGGAGTAAAGTTCATTTTGAAATACAGTAGTGTTCTCTTATTTTACTTTCTGTAGTTTCACTTACTCAGAGTCAACAGTGGTATAAAAGTACACCTGTATTTAGGGTTGGCATTGTGGCACAGCAGGTAAGCTGCTACCTGTGATGCAGGCAATCCGATATGCGTGCCAGTTTGTGTCCCAGCTGATCTGCTTCCAATCCAGCTCCCTGCTGATGGCCTGGGAAAAGCAGCAGAGAATGGCCCAAGTGTTACATACTTGCATTTGCTTGACTATTTAAGAGAGCCCATGTTCATATATTTTTATTCTAATAAATGTTTAATTGCTCTTATTAATAGTTATTGTTAATCTCCTACTGTACCTCGTTTATAAATTAAACTTAGTCATAGAAACGTATGTACAGGAAGGAACAGAGTATGTAGCATTCAATACCATTCATGGTCTCCTGGATGGTCTTATGACACGTGCCCCATAGATAAGGGGGACTCCTGTAATGTTATTAGTATTCTAACTCTAGATTATTCGCCATCTTCCTAACATGAAAGCAGAATGGATATCCAGACTCAAATGATTCCCACAGAAAGTCAATAAAAATGCAGATACTTTGCCTTAGTTTGTTTTTGTTTTCATCCATATAAACATTAATTCCCTTCCTCACGAGTACATTTCTCTAGCTCTGCTGCTTATAGAGACAAAAATACTCTTTTATGAGATTCCACTGAGGTTGGAGATTATTTCAACATATTTTAAAAATAAACTATGCTTTAGAATAATTGAGTTTTACTGAAAATAGTGATGATCCTAAAGAGAGGGCTCAGGTTCCTGAGATGAGAGTTCCTGAGTGATAGGAAGTGCACTTCTCACGTAGGACCTCTGTCCTCACTGAGTTGTCCTATGAGAATTAATGGTAAAACAAGTCTTCAAACAGTATTTTATACTTTGTGTGTCTGTGTGGATGTAAATTGTTGAAATCTTTACTTAGTATAGAGTTGATCTTCTCTATATAAAGATAATTAAAAACAAATCTTAATGAAGAATGGGATGGGGGAGGGAGTAGGAGGTGGGATGGGAGTGGGGGTGGGATGGCGTGTATGGGGGAAGAACTGCTATAATTCAAAAGTTCTACCTATGAAATTTATATTTATTAAATAAAAGCTTTTAAAAATGTTTAAAAAGGTGACTGGGAGAAGAATGGTTGCTAATTCTAATTGTTGCCAATTGAGGTGATTTGGTTAGTCCACTGGACAGGAATCAGGATAGTGCTGACTGCAAGGAGTCATCCTGGGTCAGATAAATACCCCAGGCTGACTTCAGGAACTGCTTCTTCAAAGGAGCCCAAGTTTAATTGGGTTAATCTGTGAAGGAATGGATGTCTCCCTCCACCTCATCCTCTACTGAGCCGCTAGCCAACTGGTCATCAGTGAGAAGAGCTTCATAGCTGTATGTACTCGGGGAGAAGAGCTAATCAAGAGAGACATGCCATCTCCACCCCACTAGGGGTGACTGTGGGCACATCCTGATCTGTGCCTCTTGAGAAGCAACTTCAGATGCTACACACTGAAAGAGCTGAGGGCTGGCATACCCTGTATAGACGAATTCTAACTTCACTAACCAACCAAACAAACAACAGTGATAAGTCATGGGAAAGGGATGCAATACTCAGAGTTGCTATAACACATCATCTAAAATCACCAAATAATTGGAAAAATAAACTTTCAAGCATGTAAAAATACAGAGAAGTATGGCCCATATATAACAGAAACTGACAGAATTGCAAAGTATAAGATTTAAGAGACTTAAATGTAGCCATGATAAATTTGCTCAAATAATTAAAGGAAACCAGAAATAAACAAAGAAAAGACAGATGACAGTATTTCACTGAATAAAAAACAAGTAGAAATTAGAAAAAAGATCCAATTGGAAATGAAGAATTAAACATTATATTTAATTAAAATACAGATTCACTACAGGGGCTCAATGATAGCTTTGAACTGACAGAACAAAGCAATAGAGAACTTGAGACACATCTATAGAGATTATCCATACCAAGAACAGAGAAAGAAAACAAGAAGAACACAGAACAGAACTTCAAATGAATGTGAGACACTGTTAAATACACTTTTTATATGTCATGGGAATACTAGAGGGAGAGGAGAGAGATAAAGGAGAATAAAAAAAAATATGGCAGAAAAACTTTAATCTATACATTCAAGAAGCTCAACAAACACCAAGAAGGATGAAAGCAGAGACATTCACAAATAGACACATCATAGTGAAAACGCTGCAAGACAGACGAAAAGAAAATCTTGAAGGGAGCAAGGGAAAGAAAACATCACTTAAAGAGATCTCTGGTAAGATTAATAGCTGATTTGATGAAGACCAGAAGTCGATGAGACGATTTACCCACAGTGATCAAAGAAAAAATACCATCTGAGAATTCTTTCAAAATGAGGACAGAATAGTGATATTCCTAGATAAACAGAAACCTAGAGAATGTGGTGCTTATACACCCACTCTGTGAGAATTACCAAGAAGTTCTTTAGGGTGAATGTCAATTATCACAGAGAGTAATTCAAATCCATATGAAAAAGCAATATTTATCTGTAATTATAAAAGACAGTGTAAACACAAAGTTCATCCCGTTCCCTCTCTTAACTAATTTAAAAAAGTAATTTCAAGTATATGTCTCTAAGATATATCCAGGATTATAATATATGTTTGCCAATAACAGAATAAGAAGGTGTGTAAGAGCAAAGATGTAATGAAATGAGGAAATGACTCCATACGGTAATTAAAATTCAGAAAAAATGAAAAAAGCAAAAAATGTTTATTATAAAGATTAATGTAACCAAAACTATAGATACATGTTTTTCTTTATTTTCTTCTCCTAGCTTCTCTAAAATAATCACTTAAAATATAATTTTCTTTTTTAATATTATATACATATTTTGAAATATTTTAAATCTAGATTTTTATATATAATATAGCACAAAAGGGATGTATGTGCCTCATAGGAATAGCATTTCTTTCTAATTGGAGTTAAGTTTGTAAAATTGAAAGCTGTTCTGTGAATTTAAATAAATATGGTACACATTAGAACAACCACTGAGGAAATACCAAAAAATATTGTGAAAAAATCATTAAAGGAATTTAAATCACAAGTAAACATTAGTGCTAAGCTAAGCATGGAAGAAGGAAAGCATATGACAAAAATTCCATGATGAAAACTTTAAGTAAATTGGGTATAAAAGAACATTCCTCAACACAATCAAGGCAATTTATGACAAAAACACAGCCAGCATCCTATTGAATAGGGAACAGTTGGAAGCATTCCCACTGACATCTGGAACCAGACAAGGTGCCTACTCTCACCACTGCTATTCAATATAGTCCTAGAAGTTTTAGCCAGAGCCTTTAGGCAAGAAAAAGAAATCAAAGGGATACAAATTGGGAAGGAGGAAGTCAAACTATCCCTATTTGCAGATGACATAATTCTATATATGGGGGTTCCAAAAGACTCTACTAAGAGACTACTGTAACTCATAGAAGAGTTTGGTAAAGTGGCAGTATATAAAATCAGCACATAAAAATCAATAGCCTTTATATACACATACAATTCCATGGCTGAGAAAGAGCTACTAAGATCAAGCCCATTCATGACAGTTACAAAAAAAAAAAATACCTTGGAATAAATTTAACCAAGGATGTCAAAGATCTCTAGGACTGGAGCCGGCTCCATGGCTCTCTTGGTTAATCCTCCACCTGAGGTGCTGGCATCCCATATGGGTGCTAAGTTCTAGTCCCGGTTGCTCTTCTTCCAGCCCAGCTCTCTACTGTGGCCTGAGAGGGCAGTGGAGGATGGCCCAGGCGCTTGGGCCCCTGCACCTTCATGGGAGACCAGGAAGAAGCACGTGGCTCCTGACTTCAGATCGGCACAGTGCCGGCTGTGGCGGCCATTTGAGGAATGAACCAATGGAAGGAAGACCTTTCTATCTGTCTAAAATTCTACCTCTCAAATAAATAAATAAAAATCTTAAAAATAAAAAAAAATAGATCTCTAGGATGAGAATTACAAAACATTAAAGAAAGAAAGAGAAGACACCAAAAAGAAAAAAAAAAAAAGGAAAAATCTTCCATGTTCATGGATTGTAAGAATTCATATCATCAAAATGTCCATACTACCAAAAGCAATCTACAGATACAATGGGATCTCAATCAAAATACCAGGGGCATTCTTCCCACATATAGAGAAAGCTATGCTGCTGACATTCATATGGAAACACAGGAGACCCTGAATAGCTAAAACAATCTTATACAACAAAAACAAAGCCAGAGGCATCGCAATACCAGATTTCAAGACATACTATCAGACTCTGTAGCAAGGACAATCTCTTCAACAAATAGTGCTGGGAATACTAGATCTCCACCTTACAGCTTATACAAAAATCCACACAAAATGGATTAAAGACCTAAATCTATAACCTGATACCATCCAATTAGTAGAGAACAATGGAGAAACCCTTTAAGACACTTACATAGGCAAAGAGTTCTTGCAAAAACCCCAGAGGCACAGGCAATAAAAGCCCAAATCGACAAACAGAATTACATCGAATTGAGAAGCTTCTGCAATGCAAAAGAAACAGTCAGAAAAGTGAAGAGGCAACCAACAGAATGGGAGAAGTTATTTGCAAACTATGCAAATGCTAAAGGATTAATAACCAGAATATATAAAGAGATTAAGAAATTAAAAAAAAATTCAGTTACAAAATGGGTGAAGGACTTAAACAGGAATTTTTTAAAAGAAGAAATTGGAATGGCCAACAGACACATGAAAAAATGTTCAGGATCACTAGCTGTCATGGAAATGCAAATCAAAATCACAATGAAGTTTCACCTCACCCCCTTTAGAATGGCTTTCATGCAGAAATCAACAAACAACAAATGCTGACAAGGATGTGGGGGGAAAAGGTACCCTAATCCATTGTTGGTGGGAATGTAAACTGGTACAGCCACTGTGGCAGATAGTATGGAGATACCTCAGAAATCTGAATATGGACCTACAATATGATTCAGCCATCCCACTCCTGGGAATTTACCCAAGGGAAATGAAATCGGCATATGAAAGAGTTATCTGTACCCCCAAGTTTATTGAAGCTCATTTCAAATAGCTAAGATATGGAACCAAATCAACTGCCCATAAACTGAAGACTGGATAAAGA